GCGAAGGAGGGTTTGTGGGGGGTGACCCTCTGCGTGCCCGCGCTAAGTTTCTCTGTCATCGCTTTCTCCAACCTCTCCCGGGCTGAAAACCCGCTCCACATGCAATCCTTAAGGATGAAAGCGCTCAGGTTCCCGAAGATTTCCCCCGTCCCGATGAGATACTCCGGCTCTTCCCCGGGCAGGCAGCAGCAGGAGAGCCAGCCCGAGCGCTCCTCCGCCCCCGAGCAGCAGGCTTTTTCCCCGGGGGTCCCCAGAGGGAAAAGGGGGGGCGTGGGGACCAGCTCGAACTTCTTCCAGATGTCCTCGCTGGGAGCCGTGGAGCGGTGGAAATCCTCCTGGGCGTCATGGTCGTAGAAGTAGTGTTGGTACGAGTCCAACTCCATCTCTGCATCAGCGGGACGAAGGTGAAGGGGGGGCAGAAAGGAAAAAAAGGGGGCACCCCCAAGCCGGATTTGAAGCCGCACTCAGGAAAGAGGCACCCCCAGCCTCATGGAGGCAAAGGGGAAGCCCCCTCACCCCCTGATGCCCCCCGCCCGGCGCTGCGGGTCGCGGCGGCACCAGCCACCGAGCCGGGACCGCCGGGGCATTGTTCCCCCCCTGCTCTTATACCCTGTTCTGTGGGAACCAAGCCCCGCCCGCCCGCCAATCGCTGGGCTGTGATTTGCATACTGGGCGGGATCCTGTCACGTTCCCCGCCCCCCCGGGGGGGCACGGGATGGGGGTGCCACTGCAACCCCCCCGGGTTTCTCCGTCCTGCTCACGGGGATGCTAAGGAGGTTATGAACCAGTTCTGGGGGACCCTCGCTGCCCCCATCCCGAGTGTCCCACCAGCTCCCGGTGCCACCCTCAGCCCATTAGAAAGGTCAGGGTTTGGGGAAACCCCCCCTTGAGGGTGTCCTGCAAGGAGAATTTTGGCTGAGGACACCCAGGCCAAGCCCAGCTGTGCCACCAGCCCGGGGACATTCAGCTGAGCACAACAGGACAACAAATTGAAGTGGGGACAAGTCACAGGGAGGCATTACCTGCTGGCAGAGACCACCCCCAGGTGCCCTCTCCCACCCCCCTCCCCTTTGCCTGGCCGTCCCCCCACTTCCCATTGGGCTCCCGAGCTCACCTGCACGTGGCCCCATCGCTGCTGCCCAAAGTCAACTTTGTCCATGTGGCTCCTGGCACACCCAGCCTGGGGATGTGGGGAGATGTGCTTGGTCCCCAGGGACCTGGGTGAGCCCAGCAGGATGTCACATCTCTCCCCTGCCAAGGTCCTTCTAGGAAGTGCAATAAATGTTGTGAAAACACGACGAGGCTTCCACCCCGTGCACTAACGACCGTGGCATCACTGCACTCACATGTGCTGTTACAGGGTCCACTGGGGAGGAGCAGAATCCCCCCCAGCAGCGTGTGCCCACCCACTGCAGCCCCACAACCCTCTGCTTGCAACCCAGCATGGTCAGGGACACGGGATCTGCCCCAGTCGGGGGACCTGGGAGCTGGAGGCAGGTCCTGGGCAGGTCCCCAGGCTGTGGTGTCATCCCTGTGGGGAACCATCTGCCCCAGCCCAGCGACCAGCACAGCACAGAATCACTCCCAGTCTGGGTTGGTTTGGAAGGGACCTTCAAGATCATCCAGTCCCACCCCCCTGCATGGGCAGGGACACCTCCCACCAGCCCAGGCTGCTCCAAGCCCCATCCAACCTGCCCTTCAACACTGCCAGGGATGGGGCAGCCACAGCTTCCCTGGACAACCTGGGCCAGGCTCTCATCACTCTCATAGGAAAAAATGTCTTCATCAAATCCTGCATGAACCAGTACAGTCCAGTACAGTCCAGCCCAGACCAGTACATCCCAGTCCGACTCTTCCCAGCACAGCCCACTATGATCCCGCATGGAGCAGCACAACCCAGGACAATACAGCCCAGCCCAGTGAAACCCAGTGCAGCCCAGTGTAGTCCCGCATGAACCAGCATATCCCAGCGCTGCCCA